GGACTGGAAAAATAAAAGGTGAGCCTGGGATATAGTGCCAGAAAGCAAGAGAAGTCTTAAAAAATGATGAAGAAATTTTAAAAGAACATACAAGCCAGCTAAATCTGAAATAATAATTTGTGCATCAATATAATGATAGTAATGATTATGTAATTCACAGAATAAAATGAAAATCAATGAGTTGTGATATAAATAAATTGATAAATGAATAAATGGAGAATAAAAAAGCTCTCCCATATAGTAGGAAGATAGAAAATGTATAAAGCAGGAATCATCAATGGATATTAAAACTTATGAGAAATTTCAAATTATCTCCCCACAAGATATTTATTAATTACAAAGAAAAATAGTTAATTTACAGTGGAGAAACCTGGCAGATACCACTTTAATCAAGTGAACAAAGCTGCTATCACTATCACGAGTGAGGAGACAGACTGGTATCACATGACTCCTCATATGATGCAATGAGAAGGACACACCAATTCTGTAGCATTACTACCAAAAATACATAACCTGAATTTAACCATGAAGAAACACAAGACAAACTCAAATTGAGGGATATTTTACAAATTGAATGGCCTATAATCTTCAAAAATGTCAAGGTCATAAAAGACAAAAACTGAGAAGCATTTCCAGATTTAAGAAAATTAAAGAAATTTGAAACTAATTATAATCTTGCACTGGATCCTGGACCACAACAAAAAACTTATTTTCTTCTTCGATAAAGAGTATTAGTGGGACAATGAGCAAAATCTGAATAAGGTCATAGAGTAGATCACAGTTAACATATCAATGTTAAGTTTCTAATTTTGATCATTTTGCTGTAATATTTGTATCCTCTCTTTGTATTGAGGAAATACACAGAAAAATATTTAGGGATAAATGGACTAGAAAATAATTACAATAGTCTCTTTATATATCTATATTTATCTCTCTATAGATATAGAAGAAAAATAGAGTAAGAGTGAGAGAGAGAATGATAAAGCAAGTATGGTTTGATATTGATGAAAGGTATATGGGATTTTTTTGGGTGCTAGTTTTGGAAACCTTCTTTAACTCCGAAATTATTTCACAATCAAAAATTTAAAAAATCCCATAACATATAACATTTTGAACTATTTCCTTCTAAATATTACATTTATATATTTTAATTAGTCTTGTTTACTTAACTCTACTTTTATTAATTTGATGTTGAATCATGAGCAGTTTTCAATGTTATTTAAAAGTCTTTAAAAACAATTATTAATGGATTCACAGTATTTGTGTGGAGATATTTTAATTTACTTAATTTATTTAAGGTTTTCTCCACATTATGTTATAAACATATAATAAACATCTTTTTGCATATATCTTTGACCACATAATTAATTAGTTCCTTATGCTCAACTCCTAGAATGGGAATTGCTTTGCTCTTTTTTAAATAACTCAAGTGATCTAATAAGTTCTCAAATGTCCCCAATTTCATTTTTAGGTTAATGCTGGTTTACTGACTTCTGGCTTGCTCTAGGGCTTATCTGTTTGGTAACAGACTGACTAATGAATTCTGGATTTGACTTTGGGCAGTGGGTGGTGATTGCAGAAAGGTGTGAGAGACCATGGCTGGCAGCAGCAGGCTGGGCTCAGTTCTGAGCTGCATCTGTTGAAGGGGAGTCTTATTTTTGGCGGGCCCTGAAAGTTAAGGGAAAAGTCCTAAAAAGTCACTGAGCAGGTGGGATGCAGGGTAGGTACAGCCTGATGAGCGTCAGTTCAGCTCAACATTCCTTGAATGGCACCCTGTGCTGAGACTGGTTCCAGGGACACAGAGATGGATCAAACACTGAACCTGGCCCACAGGCTTACAATCTGGTAGGGGAGACATACAAGTAGATAGATATTGACATTGCAGTAACAAATAGTTATAAATTGGGGAGCACAAGGGTTAATGAGCACATGAAAGGGTTTTGTGCCTGCCTCCCTTTAAATAAATTTTTAGACAGTATATACTTTTGTACACAAATACAATATTCATTCATTCCTCCTTCCCATCCTTCCTTCCATTCATTTGGTTTACCTATAATGTTTTGAGCATACACCCTAGACCAAAGGATGTGGCAGTGGAGTTGGAGGAGGGGAGAGAAATTTAAAAAGAAAGTAGAATTTATCAGGCTTCATAATCAATTGCCCAGGGAAGATATGGAGAGTTATGGGTGACTCCCAGATTTTTGGCTTGGGCACCTGGGTAGATGATGGTGCCATGCACCAAGCCAGGAAATGGATATTCTTTTGTTCTGAATTTTATTCTATTCTATATATTTTTATTTTTTTTTAGAGACAGGTCTCACTCTGTTGCTTAGACTGGAGTGTAGTGGCATAATCATAGCTCATTGCAGTCTCAAACTCCTGAGCTCAAGCAAGACTCCTGCCTCAGCCATGTGTGGCATCATACCTGGCTAATTTTCTTCTATTTTTTTGTAGAGATGGGGTCTTGCTATTTTGTCCAGGCTGGCCTTAACACCCAGCCTCAAGCAATCCTCCTGCCTCCCAGGCATGAGCCACTGTGCCCAACCTGGCCTGAATTTTAAAGAACAAATTTTAATGACCAAAGAAGATTTTCCTAGGAGTGCTAGACCTTAAACTCACTTGAAAAAAAAAATTCTTAGAATATTGGCTTTCTACAGGATGTATATGGTACACAAATGAAAGTGAGAAAATCTACCAGGTTGGGAATAAAGAGATATTTTAGAGTCACTAGATAGTAGTGGAAATCAATGAAAAATTGAGAGTAGGGTAACCAAATCAATTGACAGCAGGCCCAGGTAGACTTAAAATGTAAAATATTTACAGTAGAAGAGAGGAAAACAGATGAGAGACATTTCAAGAGCAGAGAGCAAACTGGGTAGGAATAACCAAAACAATGGAATGAAGTAAAGAAAATGAAAGGATTTAAAGTGGACTAGTATGATCAGGGAGCTGGTGGTGATGATAAAGGCAACTTCTTTCAGCAAAAGAATTTGCATAAAGGGGTGAAAGTGTGAAGCAAGAGGAAACTGTCCTGGGAACAAATGAATCATCTTCATCTAGTAGCTACACCCTGGGTTGCAAGATTATTCATAAACAAATGCAGATTTCCTGCAGTGGTAGTGATCTAGGCCTGGAAAGTATAGTGCTAATGTTAGATTGCCAAACTGATCTAAATCGGCTAAAGGGCCCATTTCTCTAAACTGAAAAATTTAGGCAACAAATTACCCGAAAGTGTTTTGTTAATATTGCTGAAGGGAATCTCAGAGTCCATCTCTGGCTTTTCCTTAGGTTGGATATACTTCACATGTAAAATGGTGGTAGCATAGTACCTAATTCATAGAGTCATGAGGATGAATCAGAGTTTCCTTCTGAGCCCCAGTTTCTCTTGTTATAAAAAGGGGAGAGTGATTTTTTTGTGTGTGTGACTCAGAAGTATGTGGCAAAAGCACACTTAGGATCGTACAGAACAGCTTTCATGGATGAGAAGAGAGCTGCTAGGTTAGGTTATATTTTTCTCCAAAGTGGCTGCTCAATTATTATGTGAACAGTTCCCGGAGACCTTATGTAATTTTCTCATTATGATTTGTTAATATTAGGCCATAACCTAAGGTAAGGTGAGATTGCCTTATAATATTTTTATACAGAAAAATATACTCGTTCTATGCTGGTGTCTGTTGTGCAATAGAATGTCATAGAAGATCCAGTGGATGAGCCTCTACTCTACAGTGGAGAGATGTTATATAAATCCATTAGTGAAATTTAGGGAAATTTCACCCAGACTGGTGATAATGAAGAATGATGCTTCCATCTTGTGATAGGAATACACTTACATGTGCGCGACACACACACACACACACACACACACACACACACACACACACACACAGATGGGTACAATCGAGCCTAAGAAAGACTGAGAGTTAGGATGTTCAAAAATAGGACTAACATTTATTGAGTACGTGCTATCTCCAATCTTCACAACAACCAGTAAGGCAGGCAGGAGAACACTGAGATTCAAAAATGTTATATAACTCGTCCAGGGTTATAAAGCTATACATGACATAACTGGAATTGGTAGTATTTGTATCTAACACCAAAGTCTCTGCTCATACTAGTATATCACTCTGTGAAAAAAAAATACTGTATTTGAAAATTTGGGGGACCAGAGGATTTGGAAAATTTCTCTTTCCCTACTTCCCCTCTGACAATCTTTTGTTTCTTTTGTTTTTGGTTCTGACGTTTGCACCCTAGAGGTTGAGTGAGATCAAATATTGGGCATCTGTAAACAGAATGATTGCATAGCCCCCACTATATAACAATTTCCTTCCAGCCTTACCTAAGATTTGGCAGGGATGGGAGTGGAGAGGTGGGAGAGTAGAGGTGGGGGTGGAGGGAGGGTATTAGTAAAAGATGGATGATTCTTTTCTTATCTTAAGTTGTTTATGAATTTCAGGACAACCCGTTGGCTATTCTCTTCTATGGCTCAGCGTATTTTTTTCCTATGGGGGGGGGGTGTTAGGAGTTAAGGTTTCGGTATCTGTAGGAAATTTCTACAACGATCTGCACAGTAAATCCAAAAAAAGTTAAGGTCAAAGACAATTCCTTCAACTGTTTTGGGAGAGGAGTGTGTGTGTGAAAAAGGTTTGCCCCGGGTCACTCTTCTTTCACGCAGACAGACGCGTAGAAGGGATTAGAAGGGATCTCCCCCCACCCCTCAACCACGGGAGATGAAACGAAGAGATTCCCTTACACTCCTGCTCTTAGGTGACGGGTCTGGCTGCCAAGAACGTTCACGTACCTTTGGGAGAGAAGGAAAAGGTGCTCGGGGTCTGACCGAGGGGGTGGGGGACGCCCGGGGTGGGTGGGAACTGAGAGGCTTCCGGCTCCTGGGAAGGGAGTCTGGGGCCGGCCGCGGGCGGCAGGCTGCGCAGGGAGCGCGGGGCCCCCGCCACCCCCAGGCCACGCTCCCTCGCGTTCCCTGCCGCTCGTGCCCGGCGCGGCCGCCGCAGTCCCGGCGCCGTAGCCGGACGTGGGGTCCAGGGGGCGCTGTGGCCCAGCTGCGCGGGCGGCAGGAGAGGCCACCCGACGCTGGAGGCTTCGCCGAGGATCTCCGCCTGCAGCACCTCGGTCGTCCCGCCGCAGCCCTGCGCCCCTAGCCCTGCTCAGCGGCGCCCCTCCGGGATCCGCGTGGCTGCGGCGGCCCAGGAGCTGATGCGGCTGGGTGGGCGCTGGGCCTCAGCAGGAGCAGCCGCCGCAGCCGCAGCCGCAGCCGCAGCGACCACAGCTCCTACAGGAGTGGGAGGCTTCGCGGCGGCGCCTGGGGCCGCGCCGGTGCCCTCCAGAGGAGGCTTTCGGCTTAGGGACGACCCCCTCGGCCATGCTGAAGCGGAGACGGCCGCTGCTAGAGGTGAGTGTGGTGAGGCGCGGTCTAGGGCTCGCCTGCCTCCGGCCGCCGTGGGGCCCTGGCGGCAGCCCTCCAAATGGGCGGACGGGGCGTCCTGCTGCTGCGGCCGCCTTCCCCACCCCCCGCGGTTCTGGGGCCTCAGCCCTTCCTCCCCAGTCCCCCGGGAGGCTGGAGCCCGTGGGGGGCGAGTAGGCCCCGCGCCGCCGGGAAGCCCTCACCCTGGCCTCGGTTCCGGCGCGGCCCGGTGTGTGGAGCGGGGGACTGGCAGGGGCACGGGCGCCCTTCGGGTTTGGCCGGGCCGGGCCGAGCGTAGCCTCTTTCCCTGGGCCCTGCACGCACATCCCGGAGGGAGGCAGAGGACGCCTGTTTGCAAACAGCGTTGGCTTCCCAGCGACTCATACTGAGTCCCGGGGGGTAGGGTGGGGGAGGGGAGGCAGGGCAGGGTGAGAATTGGGGTGCAGAGAGTGCGGGGCCTTGAGAGCCCCTGGTACTCGTGGAGTGTCATTCACGGATCTGATTCGCTTGAGAACAACCTTTTGCGTCTTATTTGAGGTGAAATTTCATCACCTGACGGTAGCTCATCCTTGCAGCTTGCCTCTAAACGTAGTCTGCTTTGGAGAAAGCCCCGTATCAGCTTTGCTATGCTAAGTTTCCTAGATAAACACTCACAGTTATAAAAATGTTTTACAAAGGTCTGTCACACCGCCCCATAAGAGAGAAAATATTTTAATGCTTCAGTTCTTAGCACAAAAAATGTTCCACTTAAATAGATCCAGAGAATGCTTGGCAAGAAGATTTTAAGTTGTGCTAACTATCCTAATAACAGGATGGAAATGGGATACATGCTAAATTTTATAAGTAAAATGATTTGTTCTGGTATTAATGTAAACAAGTTTAGTTATTACAGTTTGAGACCATAAATCCGATATTTCGGGTTTATGGTTTATGATAAGTGTGATTGCAGGTTATTCTTGTTTTCCTGTTATGTATGTGAAGGTTGTAGGATTTATAGGTACTTCTAAAACTTGTATGATCATGAAAGTATAAGTATGCTTATCATGATAAGTATGCTTATTGTAGAAAATTTGGAAAATACAGAAAGGTGCTGTGCCACTCTTAATAAATATGTAATAACGGAGGTGGGGGGAGAGGGAATCACCCATAATCTCACAGGTAGTGTATTTTGATAGTCATTCAAAGTTTAAAATGGGCTTTTGTAAGATTTTGTTTAAATATTTCTAACTGTAAAAAATTGGCTTGATTAAAAATGGTTTTTGATAGATTAGAGTTTTAAAAGTCTAATTCAGGCCTGTGAGGTGGCGTCCCAGCTGCTCACAAAGCTGAGGCAGCAGGATCCCCTAAGGCAGATGAGTCCAGCCTGTCTCTAAAGTGTATCCCTGAAAACCATCACCATTAGAATCATTTGAGAGTGCTTAGTATATATAATGTTGTATATAAAATATGCAGATTACTGGTCCCCTGAATCAGAATTCTAGGGATGATGATGGCCCAAAGATCTTCATTTTTGTCAAGCTCCCTGTCTTAGTCCTACTAGAGTTTGAGGCCGTCGCCGTGGCTCACACCTATAATCGTAGCACTCTGGGAGGGTGAGGTGGATGATTGCTCAGGGTCAGGAGTTCAAAATCAGCCTGAGCAAGAATGAGACCCCATCTCTACTAAAAAAAAAAAAGAAAAAAATTAACTGGACAACTAAAAATATATATAAAAAATTAGCCAGGCATGGTGGTGCATGTCTGTAGTCCCAGCTACTTGGGAGGCTGAGGCAGAAGGATTGTTTGAGCCCAGGAGTTTGAGGTTGCTGTGAGCTAGGCTAATGCCACGGCACTCTAGTCTGGGCAGCAGAGTGAGACTCTGACTCAAAAAAGAAAAAAAAAAAGTTTGAGAATCACTGATATAACTTTAAAGTAACGAACTTTGTAGGGCTGAGTGGAAGTGTCTGTTTCTAGCAAAGCTATCAGTCTTAAGTGGCAATACAGTCATTTCTCATATCAACAGATAATTCTGCTAAAATGTTAGAAGAAAAATGATATTTTTCAGGGACAGCTGATTCAATCAACAAACATTCATTGAGAGCCTATGGTGGTAGCTGTGGTGTTAGAGAAGGATGCCTGGCCACTTACATTGACATTTTAGGGACCTTGGTGCCATTGTCTGTAAAATGCAGATTACTGTAGTTATACTTACCTTGCAAAGTTTTTAGGATAATTACATCTGAAAAAGCACTGTAATCTGTAACATTTTTTTTTGTTTTGTTTTCTTATTTATTTATTTATTTTTGAGACAGTCTCACTCTGCTGCCCAGACTAGAGTGCCGTGGCATCAGTCTAGTTCACAGCAACCCCAAACTCCTGGGCTGAAACGATGCTACTGCCTCATCTTCCCAAATAGCTGAGACTACAGGCATGTGCCATCATGCCTGGCTAATTTTTTTATATATTTTTTAGTTAACCAATTAATTTCTTTCTATTTTTTAGTAGAGACAGGGTCTCTCTCTTGGTTCAGGCTGGTTTCAAACTCCTGACCTTGAGCTACCTGCCTGCTTCGGCCTCCCAGAGTGCTAGGATTACAGATGTGAGCCACTGCGCTCAGCCTTGTTTTGTTATTTTTTTTAGAGATAGGGTCTTGCTTTTTGTCCAGGCTGGAGTGCCGTGGCACAATCATAGCTCACTATAACCTGGAACTCCTAGATTTAAGTAATCCTCCCACCTCGGCCTCCTAAAGTGCTAGGATTACGGGCACAAACCACTGTACCCAGGCTATACAAAATTTTTAATAAAATTTTCACTATTAATATAAAGTGCCAGGTCCTGTCTTAGGTATTCTGGGAGACACAAAAATGACCAAGGTCTCTGCAAGCAATTAGCTAACTGTGGAAGCAGGACAAGTTTAATTACCTGTTATAAGATAGGGTCACACAAGTGTTGTAATTGAGTGAGATGTGCTAGATCTCTGTTTAAGGCTTCTATGTCTCATCTTGCCCTTTATAGAACATTGATAATAATTTTTATATATGATTATTCCTTTCTCTTCCAATTCCTGATTCAGTACTTTCTTTAGAGAAATACTTGTCTATGTTGCTTGATAAGTGATAGTTTTATATTAACTCTTTTAGAAAGACTGGATGAATAGAGATGATCTTATTCCTTCTTTTGTTGCTAAGCTACCACTGTTCATTCCATTTAGTAAACTTTTATTTGGTACTTGTGATGTGCTGGGCACAGACTGGTTACAAGGCACAAAGCTTGTTTAAAGATAATTGCCTAGATTTTAACTTAAGTTCTTATGTTCCTAAAGGGGTGGTATATGTGTGTGTGTTTATGGTTGTTAATTGCATGATATGGTGCAGGTTATGGAGTCAGATGTGGGCAGGGATCCTTACTACACCTCTTAGAGCCTTCATGTGACATTTAGATTCTGAGTTTCTTCTTACGTATTGCTGGAGTAACAGTACTCCTCCCAGGAAAGTAAAACAGGTTCTTTGAGATAAAAATAATAAAAAAATAATTAGCTCAGTGTCTGTCCTATTGAAGGTACTCAGTACCTTCATTTCCATTCCTCCTTTTGATGAACACAAAAACCAGGCATTAGAATTTCTGTGTGATGTAAAACTTGTAGCTTTATTATTTATTTATTTATTTTTGAGACAGAGTCTCGCTTTGTCGCGCAGGCTAGAGTGAGTGCCGTGGCGTCAGCCTAGCTCACAGCAACCTCAAACTTCTGGGCTCAAGCAATCCTGCTGCCTCAGCCTCCCAAGTAGCTGGGACTACAGGCATGTGCCACCATGCCTGGCTAATTTTTTCTATATGTATTCGTTGGCCAATTAATTGCTTTCTATTTTTAGTAGAGATGGGGTCTTGCTCTTGCTCAGGCTGGTTTCAAACTCCTGACCTCGAGCAGTCCACCCGGCTCGGCCTCCCAGAGTGCTAGGATTGCAGGTGTGAGCCACCACACCCGGCCTATTATTATTTTTTTTAGAGAATAAGTCTACTTTTGGAATTCTTTGACATTTTTGATAGAAAACAATTTTTATCCTAACTTACTACACATATTTTCCATTTCATTTTTAGCTAATAAGTCAGTATTCCCTGTGTATAGTATACACTTGGGAATATTCATTTTCAGAGTTTTACATTGATCTTTAATTTTACTTATGTGTACCTGATCTGCATTATATAGAACAACATTCTTAGTACAGTGGGGCCTCTGTTTCTGTGGGTTCCACCAATGATGAATGGAAAACATCCAGGAAAAACTCACAAAAAATAACAATACAGCAATCAAAATAATACAAATAAAGAACATTACAGTATAATAGCTGATCTACTTAGCATTTACATTGTATTAGGTATTATAAGTAATCTGGAGATAATTTAAAGCTGTGGTCCCCAATGCAGACCAGAACCAGCCGGCTGCACTGCAGGAGGAGCAAAGCTTCTGTATTTACTGCTGCTCCTCATTGCCACATCTCCGCATAAACTCCGCCTTCTGTCAGATCAGGCTGATCTGAGGTGGAGCTGAGGCAGTGATGCTAGTGCTGGGGAGTGGCTGCAAAGACAGATTATCATTAGCAGAGAGGTTTGACTACACAATAAATGTAATGCCCCTGAATCATCCCAAACCCTCCACCCCCCAGTCCGTGGAAAAATTGTCTTCCATGAAACTGGCTCCTGGTGCCAAAAAGGTTGGGGACTGCTGATTTAAAGTATATGGGAGGATGTGCATAGGTTACATGCAAATACTATGCTATTTTATGTAAGGGGCTTGACTATATACAGGTTTTGATATTGGAGGGGGGTTCCTGGAACCAATCTATAATGCTTATTGGAAAACATGTAGTTAGTTGCAGGTACTGAATAGAAATAGTTCGTGTATTTAGTTTTCAAAAAATGATATCAATTTATTAAACTTAATTTAAGAGCTGTTTTCAGAACAGACTTTTCCTTATAAACTATAGTATGTTAGAACTGGATTTTATAACCTGT